TTGTCTTGATGTCTTGTTCCTGTGACTAGGTACTTGTGGCCAGATATTTGTATCTTTGTCTTGATGTCTTGTTCCTGTGGCTAGGTGCTTGGTTCCTGTGGCCAGATATTTGTATCTTTGTCTTGATGTCTTGTTCCTGTGGCCAGATATTTGTATCTTTGTCTTGATGTCTTGTTCCTGTGGCCAGATATTTGTATCTTTGTCTTGATGTCTTGTTCCTGTGACTAGGTACTTGGTTCCTGTGGCCAGATATTTGTATCTTTGTCTTGATGTCTTGTTCCTGTGGCCAGATATTTGTATCTTTGTCTTGATGTCTTGTTCCTGTGGCTAGGTACTTGGTTCCTGTGGCCAGATATTTGTATCTTTGTCTTGATGTCTTGTTCCTGTGGCCAGATATTTGTATCTTTGTCTTGATGTCTTGTTCCTGTGGCTAGGTACTTGGTTCCTGTGGCCAGATATTTGTATCTTTGTCTTGATGTCTTGTTCCTGTTACTAGGTACTTGTGGCCAGATATTTGTATCTTTGTCTTGATGTCTTGTTCCTGTGGCTAGGTACTTGGTTCATGTGGCCAGATATTTGTATCTTTGTCTTGATGTCTTGTTCCTGTGGCTAGGTACTTGGTTCCTGTGGCCAGATATTTGTATCATTGTCTTGATGTCTTGTTCCTGTGGCCAAATATTGGTATCTTTGTCTTGATGTCTTGTTCCTTTGGCTAGGTACTTGGTTCCTGTGGCCAGATATTTGTATCTTTGTCTTGATGTCTTGTTCCTGTGGCCAGATATTTGTATCTTTGTCTTGATGTCTTGTTCCTGTGACTAGGTACTTGTGGCCAGATATTTGTATCTTTGTCTTGATGTCTTGTTTCTGTGGCTAGGTACTTGGTTCCTGTGGCCAGATATTTGTATCTTTGTCTTGATGTCTTGTTCCTGTGGCCAGATATTTGTATCTTTGTCTTGATGTCTTGTTCCTGTGACTAGGTACTTGTGGCCAGATATTTGTATCTTTGTCTTGATGTCTTGTTTCTGTGGCTAGGTACTTGGTTCCTGTGGCCAGATATTTGTATCTTTGTCTTGATGTCTTGTTCCTGTGACTAGGTACTTGTGGCCAGATATTTGTATCTTTGTCTTGATGTCTTGTTCCTGTGGCTAGGTGCTTGGTTCTTGTGGCCAGATATTTGTATCTTTGTCTTGATGTCTTGTTCCTGTGACTAGGTACTTGGTTCATGTGGCCAGATATTTGTATCTTTGTCTTGATGTCTTGTTCCTGTGGCCAGATATGTGTATCTTTGTCTTGATGTCTTGTTCCTGTGGCTAGGTACTTGGTTCCTGTGGCCAGATATTTGTATCTTTGTCTTGATGTCTTGTTCCTGTGACTAGGTACTTGGTTCATATGGCCAGATATTTGTATCTTTGTCTTGATGTCTTGTTCCTGTGGTCAGATATTTGTATCTTTGTCTTGATGTCTTGTTCCTGTGGTCAGATATTTGTATCTTTGTCTTGATGTCTTGTTCCTGTGACTAGGTACTTGGTTCCTGTGGCCAGATATTTGTATCTTTGTCTTGATGTCTTGTTCCTGTGGCCAGATATTTGTATCTTTGTCTTGATGTCTTGTTCCTGTGACTAGGTACTTGTGGCCAGATATTTGTATCTTTGTCTTGATGTCTTGTTCCTGTGGCTAGGTACTTGGTTCCTGTGGCCAGATATTTGTATCTTTGTCTTGATGTCTTGTTCCTGTGGCTAGGTACTTGTGGCCAGATATTTGTATCTTTGTCTTGATGT